ATTAAACAGACACTTCTCAAATGAAGAAAGACAAACAGAAAACAAGTACATGAAAAAATGTTCAATATCAGTAGCACTTAGGGAAATATATATTAAAACTACATGGAGATTTTATCTCACTCTAGTCAGAAAGGTGACATTCAAGAATACAAATAATAATAATTGTTGGTGAGAATGTGGAGGGAAAGGTATGCTCATACATTGTTGGTGGGATGAGACTGCAAATTTGTGCAAACATTATGGAGTATGAAGATTCCTCAAAAGCCTAAAATGAAACCACCATATAAACCAGCTATCCCACTCTTTGGTATATATCCAGGAAAATTTAAATCAGCATAATACAGTGATGCACAGCAGTGTATATAGTAGCAAAATTCACAACAGCCAAGCTAGATAAGCAAACTAAGTACCCTTCAACAGGACAAGACAGAGTTAAGATTGTTTCTTCACATAATTTCCCTCTTCTTAGTATATAAATAATCAGTTTTCTCATCACCACAGAAAACCACCAATTTCGACAACACAAACTTTGGGAAACTTCTGATTAAGGTCGCATTGCCCATGTGGGAGCCCCTCCTTCCTGGTTATGATTCTATCAGGTTTCTTACATTACCTTGGAATCTGCCACTTCCTCCAGATCTAATTCTTTAATGACCTTGTTGATCCTCTCATTTTTTTCCTGTTTTGACATAGTTGTTGGAAGCCGAAGAGCCGCTGAGAACCATATATTTTCTCTCACTGACAGGGTGTCTGTCACAACATCATCCTGAAGGCAAATGCAATTTTCTTGAGAAACAGTGTGTCTTTTGTAAGACTATCAATTCAGTGTATGTAATTTAATATATGAAAATAACAAACCCAAAGGAAAGTTCTAGCTACTGTGAACATTCAACTCTAAGAATTTCAGTAACTCTACACACACAGCCTCAGAGCCCAAGGGAAGCATTTTCACTCCCTATTTGCATACCCAGGTGGAACACACAAAATTATGCCTTCTAGACACTTCACTTACAAATCTTTCAATGAGGAATTGCTAAAGTCATCCTTTAGGAGAAAAAGAGAGGTGAATGAAGGGCAAAAAGGACAACAATAGATCCTTTTGTAAATGATAGGAGAGCTAGAATTGACACCACTGCCTAAAAGTTAATATTCCAGGTTTTTTCTATCTCTCCTTTTGACTCCTCCCTCAATTTTTATAAATGTGGTGTAAACAAAGTTGGTTCTGAGCATGTTCAATTGGAAGCACACTAAACTATAAGCCAAGGCTCTTGCCTTACAGGAACAGGGGAAACCTAACAAGCAAAATCACTAATACTTACCTGTACCACATAACCTGTATTATGTGGGAAATTGGAATCCTCAGGTACTCCATGTACCCAGACATCTCCAGATAAACCACTTGGATCTTTCCTTGCAGCTAAGATATCTAACAACCTATAAAAGGACAATATGTTGTAAGATTTTTCCTTCCTACAAAGGCTACA